TGTGTGTGTGTGGTCTATAGTTGTCTGGACTGCTATAATGGCTCCCATATCAAAATTATAAAATAAAAATGTTAATTACATTTAATTTTTAGAGTTTCTTAAAATTTTTACTAATGGTGTGTTAATTGTAAAAATTAGGAATATTATGAGTTCAAAGGTGGCAGTATTGCAGCGTAATAATTTCTGATAAGTGATAAACCCGGATATTATTAGTGTTTGTTCTTATTATTGTTATAATTATTATTTTATTATTTTATTTTTAATTTTGTGTTTTTATTATAACTTTTATTTACAATGAATTATTTTTTATTTTAATTTTTTATTATATTATAATTTTTATTTACTATGAATTATTATTATTATTAATGTCATTACGTATTACATTTTCGCCCTCAGGCCCCGATATGGGTCAGTGACCTGTGCCCAGGTGGGCTCATACCCGTAAAAAAAAAAAAGAAGAAAAACAAATTACCAAGCAGTTGGGCGTACACGGCCTGGTAATTAAACACTGCTTGAGCTGTACGTATTTGGGCGAACACCGGCGATCAAATTTTACAACCGGAACAAACTGTCACATAATGATATTTGTATCATTTCTCAGACGGAACATTGATGTGACTTTTATTTGTAAAGCAACAGGTATTTCACGCAGCACTTAGGTCGTCACTTATGTATGCGAGGTGGAAAGCGTGTATCATGTTTTACGTCTATGGTATAGGAACTCCTGTCTTGTTCAACACATTTGTTAATAGAGAACTGATGCTACAAAAGGCGGAGAACGTGATCCAGATTATTGTGGTGTAACCGTCCAGTTGTCTTGTGTTGCCGCGTTTTGGGGAATACCTTTCTGCAATCTGTTTTTGGCTACTCGCTCCTCTCGTCACTTTTTGTAGTTTATTAGGATTTTTGACCCCTTGTTGGCCGATTCTCCACTGAACAGTCTTTTAAAAATACAAGCCTCGTAGTGACCCTTGCTTGGCCACTCGTTCATGGTGGGCCTACCCTCCTAGTTGGCCACTCTGTTTTGGCCATCTAGGGCGAACTGGATAATTTAAATTAAACAAACAATATTTCTGTGTGAGGGAGGTAAGGTTATCAGTGACAGGTCTGTAAGTCTAGCTAATAATGCTCTTGGTTACCTTGTGAGCAGCGTGGGGTCGTATCCTCTTGATAACTCAGCTCATCATAGACTTGTAAGTTACTGCAGAGATTCACTTCACTGTCTCTCTCCAGAACTTAATATAAGGATTAACATTAGGGATTCAGATAGCGTCCACCATATTGGAATCCAAGATGACTGTCATCAACATTTATACATTTTCTTCATATATTGTGTTCTGGGTCACATACACTAGTGAGCGCAAAATGATCTTGGGTCTAGAAATTCATTCATTTTATTCACGCTACATATTTTTGCAGTCATGGTATTAGACAGAGTGAACACACGTCATGAATATGTCTGAGTGAAAGTCAATGTAAAATTTAAGTGTCGTCCACAGTTTGCTGTAAAATATATGTACTGTATATATTTATTATATAAATGTAAAAAACAAAACAAAACAACAAATGAATAATAAATAAATTAAAAGTGATAAACGTTGTAACATTTTAATATATATATATATATATATATATATATATATATATATATATATATATATATATATATATATATATATATATATATATATATATATATATATATATATATATTTTATGCAGATCCACAATGAAAACGTGGATAAGATAGTCTTGATAACAGGAATACGGACTTGAGTTGTCTATTCAAGACACTTGAAGTAACCGAAGATGTCTTGAATAAAAGACGAAAGCCTGTGGTGCTCCGTTGTTTCCCTTTTCCTGTGTGATTTTTATCAATATATATATATATATATATATATATATATATATATATATATATATATATATATATATATATATATATATATATAATGATTCTTTGATATAAATGTACAGTATAAATCAGGTGCCACCAAGAGGGTTCAGGCTCTCATTTGGACCGGCCATGTTAATGCTGTTGTCACCTGATCATTAAACACCCCAACACACTGTGAGTTTTATCTCTCATAATTTGTAGTTTTGTTGGACTAATGTATTACTAATCTTGTAACGCTCTTTAAAGGCCGTTGTTGAAGCTCAATAATAGCATTAACACAACAACAACTACAACAACAACCAAACACTAAATGTGAGGGGGTTAGGTTATGATCTGGGTGTTTAGTCACCAGATGAAATATGAGTTTTTGTTTTCTTCACGGGTTCCCTTAAGGATTTATTATACGGTGTGCCATATTTACGCTGTCCCATTTCAGGAACTCATTATAAACTAACTTGTTCTGATTACCAACTTTTCATTTCTCTACAGTGAAATGCAGGACACACACACACACACACACACACACACACACACACACACACACACACACACACACACACACACACTCGTTTACCCGCAACTCGCAAAAATCCATATGCCGATGTAACTGTATTGCATTAATAAACAGGTTCGTGCTCCGGTGTCAGAGTTGAACCTGTAATTGTGATTAGTTCTAGAGTTACAGTATCTGGTGGTGGAGTCAGGTAAAACTCTGCCAATACACGTACAGTATATTTCGAACACCTACAGCACATCCCTGGCACATCCATTTCGAGCACTGACCATCCGAACTCACTTTGAATACCTACTACAGTGTGTTCCATTAGTTACACTCCGAATATCTCTTTTTGTTTCCTACAGTACTTTTGGATCTTTCTTTCTTTCTTTCTTTCTTTATCTTAACTTGTTCGGATCTTAACTCCCTTTTCTTTCATTTCCTTCTCCTCTCACTCTCTCTGTTTCTCTCAACTCCCTCTCTCCTTTCACATTTCTCTATCATCTTCTCTCTCTCCCATTCCCTCTCCTTCTCTCACTTTCCACCGCTTCTGTTTCTTCTCTCTCTTCTATTTCCCTTCTGACTTTCTTTCCTTATCCTTTCCACATGCTCTCTCATTCCCTCCTCACCATTTCTTTCCCATTGTCATTCCCTTATACACTCTCCCTTTTTCCCCTATTCCATCCGACTCATTCCCTTTCCCCTTCCATTCCTCCCTCTCTCTCTCTCACTCTCTCCCATCCTTCCCACTCATTATCTCTCCCTTTACCATTTTTCCCTCAGTTTCTCTCCCTCTTTCATCCCTTCACTCTCTCCCTCTCTCCTACTTCCCCAGTTTCCCCCACTCCTCCTATCTCTGTCTGTCTCTCTTCCATCCCCTCCTCACTCTTATCCTCCCTCTCATCCCTCCCTCCCTCTCATTCCTCCCTCTCATCCTTCCCTCCCTCACCTCTCTCACTCAACAAAGTTCACTACTGATATGTTACTAATTTGTTAAGAACGTGAGCCTTGTAGACTTTCGCTTCTACACAAGTTTGTTGATTTAGACGCACTGGAATGTTTTAACGACATTGTGACTACTACTACTACTTTTTTTTTTAAATGGCCTCCAGCCTCCCCCAATAGCCACACATTCGCCGCCATTTTATGACTGTAGCCTCATAGTCAATATCTGCAACTGTTGTCGGCTTTGGGGCCGTTACTCACGTTCCCCTGAGGCAGACCAAAGCCGACCGAAGGAGAGAGAAGGACAGTCGACATCTCATCCAGGCTGTAACATAACTTCTGGGCTGCTGCTTCTGTTAAGACAGCACCTCTGCGAGTCTGGCGTAGAAGCATTTTGCACTTGGTCCCATCCCACCAGAGGTTGTGAACACTAGAGGAGTGGGCTGCCTTGATCAACGTTCTGAATTCTCTCCCTATGTCCTTATCTTGTCGTTCTCGTTCCTCCTGTGTGCAGCATCGAGAGCTAGTTACGGTGACATGCGGCCATGGGATCAAAATTCCTGATGTCGAAGAAGGCTCGCTGTCCCCGCGTCCAGAATCCTCGAGCACTGACGTCAACATGGGCTTCGTTGGATGTGTTTGAAGTCCTGGAAGATCTCACCGTCCAATGGAAGGAGGATCGGTTCTACCCTGACATCACGGCAGATTTCCTTCAACATATTTGCTGTGAGATCCCTTACTTCGTCATGCCTCATGCATATGAAGCCCCCCCTTTCTTGCACACCATGGCGTGATCGACGTCATAGGAAGAACCACACACGCATTGGGAGGGCAAACCTTCTACTGTCCTCTATACTACTACTACAACTACTACTACTAATCTTTTTCTAACACCACCGATGTACCACACATCACCACTGTACCACTAACATCACCACTGTACCACTAACATCACCACTGTACCACATACGCTGTACCACTAACACCACCGATGTACCACACATCACCACTGTACCTCATCACCACTGTACCACTAACATCACCACTGTACCACACACCATCGCTGTACCACTAACACCACCGATGTACCACTCACACCACCACTGCCACTAATCACCGTTATTTGCACTGGGGAAAAGATGCGTTAGTTATATCAACACAACATAAAGGGGATTCAGCGTTATTTATACTGTAAAACAAATATTTACATAAGCAGCTCTTGTTATACAGTAATGACGTGTGTTGTGTTACTAATCTCTTGTGTTTGTTTGGCTGCTCTTGTTTTTTTTATGTATTTTTAAGTGATTTTTGTTTGTTGTTATTGTTTTTATTACAGATAATAGTAAATACTGTAATATGTAACTCTCTTAACAATACAATGAGCTAATATAGGGCGTCCCACAAAAGTCTCCCTGCCTCCTTGCCTCCCTCCCTGCTCCCTGCCTCCCTCTCTCCCTGCCTGCTCCCTGTCTCCTTGTCTCCCTCCCTGCTCCCTGCCTCCTCTCCTGCCTGGTCCCTGCCTCCCTCTCTCCCTGCTCCCTGTTTCCCTCCCTCCCTTCAACTAACAGTGTCTCAGGGAGCAGGCAGGAGGAGGCAGAGAGCAGGTAGGCAGGGACATTTTTCTGGGACACCCTACATGTCTCTCTCGCTGGCGGCACTCACCATTGTGTCGTGTAAGGAAGTATATGTTCTCGTAGTTGTGGTACTGGATGTAGTCGCTGAAGAAGATACTCCACGTCCTCGCATCGGTGGCGAGAACTCTGTGGTCGTTGAAGGAGGCGGCGTGAGGGGCATCATTTGCGTGACTACAGGAGGTTAAGAGAGGTCCAAGTGCCCTAGGAGGAGGTAAGACTTCCCATATCCTGACCGCCTCCGTCATCCTTGTTTACGAGAATCAGCTGACTGATTGATGACGTCCCTGATCAGCTGACTCTGTTGTTCTTTTGCTTTGTGTGAGACTCGCTGTTAACGGTGTTCTGTTGACCGTTCTGTTTAGTTCTGTCGTCTGTTAGTTGATAAAAAGTAACCTTAAATTTGTGTCCGAGTATATTCTTAATGGCTAAATATACTGCTTACGATTCAGCTTTAGGTTAGGTTAGGCTAGATTAGGTTAGGTTAGGTTAGATTAGGTTATTTGCGATTGTTGCATGTCCTCTGAGAAAAATAAATGAAATGATTATGGCGTAGCGGTCACTTTTTGCGGTACCTTTCCAACACTGCGGTACATATTGCGTTTACCAGCAAGAGGATGACGGCTCTACATTTATCACATCTTTATTTGGGTCCTTGAGGATAAAATTGACAGGTATTTGAAGCGTCTAGGGATCCTGTAAGCACTGGGGATCCCAATGCAAAGGAGTTAAGCGTTCCTTTCTATTCGGATACAGAATTGAAGGTCTAGGGATCTTATGTGGTGTTTGAATTGTGGATTTGATATCATTATAAGGATCTGTTAATCTTATAGGCGTCAGAATTCCTCCTTAAAGTACTCATGGATCCTAGTAAGTATTCGGAATCCTAATTAAGGGGACTGGAAATTCTACCATGGGCTCGGAGTTCTATTTAAAAGACCTGGGAATCCTAAAAGAAATTCAGAAGGATGTTATTTATGGTAATGGTTTAGAATCCTAAGTAAGGCACCAGAGATTTCTATTAAGGGGTCAGGATCCTATTTGAAGTCCCTAAGGTGGGGGGTTGATAGCAAGTCCAGGTTCAATTAAAGGTCCGAGAATCCTACAGGACATCCGCAGATATATTTGACGTCATCCGATGATCCAAGGACTAAGGTTACCATCGAGAAGTCAGAATAATACTTGCGGCCATGCCTTGTCCTCTCGCTTGTCCGAGTGTATGTCCTTACCTGCGTATCCGAGTGAGTGTGTCAGAGTGGTGGGAGTCTAGCCGCCAGCCAAACCATTAAATACACTACCACCTGTCAGCCTCGGGACCGGCAGTCGGAAGTCGATAGTCTTGTTACGTACGACATCACCCCAGTACTGACCGTGCTACCTGGCGTATGACGCTGCTGCCTGGTTGTGACGCTGCTGCCTGGTTTGTGACGCTGCTGCCTAGTTTGTGACACTGCTGCCTGGTTTGTAACACTGCTGCCTGGTTGTGACACTGCTGCCTAGTTTGTGACACTGCTGCCTTGGTTGCCTGCTGCCCTGGTTGTGACACTGCTGCCTGGTTGTAACACTTGCCTAGTTTGTGACTGCTGCTGCTGGTTTGGCGACTGGTCGGCACACGACACTGTTACCTGCTTTTGACTACTGCTATAAATTACGGCTTACGATCCCTGCCTGGCGTATGACACTAATACCTGCCATATGACACAGCTGTTTGGCGTGACGACACTGTTCCCTATTGCAACTAATGAGACATAGCGGAGGTAAAAATATCACCTCGCCAACACCTGAGAATCAATGAAGGAAAGATTCACCAGCACTGAATGAACAGCTACCCCTCCCCCTCCCTACCCCACCCTACCCCCCTGCCCCCCACCCCCTCCCCCCTCCCCCTCCCCCTCCCTCCTCACCCCTCCCCTCACCCCTCCCCCTCCCCTACCCCCCCCACCCCCTCACGCCCCCCCTCCCCACCCCTCACCCCTCCCCCATGTATACAGTTATATTCTCCCCCTCCCCCCAAGACGAGGCCACAGGAGACTCCCAACTGCTGTAATTGTCCTGCTCCTGAGGGATTAACAGCTTCCTGGTGCTTAATTAAATCTCTGTGAACTTTGAATCTCCAAATTATGTAAGTTAGGGTAAAATAGATAGATAGATGGACAGATAGATAGATAGACAGAATCCACTGGTAGGAAAAATGGTCATTAACGACATAGTGTACCTAACCTAGCCTAACCTAACCTAACCTAGCCTAACCTGAACACATTTCTTATATATATTTAACCGCTTATAGCTATACCGTTTTAAGTTTTAGGTTAGGTTAGGTTAGGTTAGGTTAAGTTAGGATAGATTTTAAGTTAGGTTAGGTTAGGTTAGGTTGAACGTTATATTTAATTTATTCATTATGTAGATTGTCTGGCGAATTTATGATATGTTGGTATTACTGATTGATGACTGAAGCACTGGTGTAGTATGTTTGTTTAATTGTCTGTCTGTCTGTCTGTCTGTCTGTCTGATATCTATCTGTCTGTCTGTCTGTCTGTCTGTCTGTCTGTCTGTCTGTCTGTCTGTGTCTTTCTCTCTCGCTCGCTCTTGGTCTCTCTTTTTATCCGTGTCTCTATCCTCTGTCTCTCTCTTTATCGACCTCACTTTCTCTTCTCTCACTGTATCTGCCTCTCTGTTTTTATCTATCTATCTATCTATCTCTATCTCTCTCCATCTATATATTGCGCCTCTCTCTATCTCTCCCCATCTATTCTCTCTATCTCTCTCCATCTATATGCACACTCTCTCTATCTCTCCATCTATATATTGCACCTCTCTCTATCTCTCCATCTATATATTGCCTCTCTATCTCTATCTCTCTCCATCTATATTGCACTCTCTCTATCTCTCCCCATCTATATATTGCGCACTCTCTCTATCTCTCATCTATATATTGCCTCTCTCTCTCTCTCTCCATCTATATATTGCCTGCTCTCTATCTCTCCATCTATATATTGCACTCTATCTCTCTCCATCTATATTGCACTCTCTACTCTCTCATCTATATATTGCACTCTCTCTATCTCTCCATCTATATATTGCCTCTCTCTACTCTCTCCATCTATATATTGCACTATCTCTCTCCATCTATATTCACTCTCTCTATCTCTTCCATCTATATATTGCACTCTCTCTATCTCTCCCCATCTATATATTGCGCCTCTCTCTCTCTCTCCATCTACTCTCTCTATCTCTCATATATATTGCACCTCTCTCTATCTCTCCATCTATATATTGCCTCTCTCTATCTCTCCATCTATATATGCCTCTCTCTATCTCTCTCCATCTATATATTTTGCACTCTCTCTATCTCTCTCCTTCTCTTCTCTCTCCATCTATATATTGCCTCTCTATCTCTCCATCTATATATTGCACCTCTCTCTATCTCTCTCCATCTATATTGTGCACCTCTCTCTATCTCTCCCCATCTATATATTGCCTCTCTATCTCTCCATCTATATATTGCACTCTCTCTATCTCTCCATCTATATTGCACCTCTCTCTATCTCTCTCCATCTATATATTGCGCACTCTATCTCTCCCCATCTATATATGCGCACTCTCTTATCTCTCTCCATCTATATGCACTCTCTCCATCTATATCACTTACTTTTCTCTCCCATCTTATTTCTCTCTATCTCCCCATCTATATTGCACTCTCTCTATCTCTCCCCATCTATATATTGCGCACTCTCTCTATCTCTCCCCCATCTATATATTGCGCACCTCTTTCACGTATAGGTGCCATGGAGATGATTGCGTGAAGCCTTCTGGGGCTTGACCACTCCTCACTGCCGTTAGATGTTGTTGTTTCTCACCCCTCTCCCCTCCCCCTACCCCCCTCCCCTACCCTCCCTCCTCTCTCCCCCCCCATCGAAAAAAAGTGATTATACTGTATTGTTATAATGGAGGGTTAGGAGAAGGGTGGGAGGGGAAGGAATTTTAGTGGTGACTGGGAGGAGGAGATAGGGGGAGTTTGGAGTAGCAGAGGGAGGGGAAGGGAGGGGAATTTGGAGTAGGGAGGGAGGTATGAGGGAGAGAGTAAAAAGATAAGTAATAAAAGTATGTGGTGAGGGTAAGTAGCCAGCAGCATCCATTAGTGAACGGAAATGGACGTGAAATACGGGAACTCGAATGTAAACTCAAACGTAAACTCAAACGTTAAACTCAAACGTAAGCTCAAACGTTGAACTCAAACGTAAACTCAAACGTAAACTCAAACGTAAACTCAAACGTAAACTCAAACGTTGAACTCAAACGTAAACTCAAACGTAAACTCAAATGTAAACTCCAACGTAAACTCAAACATAAACTCAAGAGTAATTGATATTTAACATTAAGTTGTCAACATAACTAACACCTGGGCGTCTCTGTACTTACCTGCCCAAGAATTCTCAAAGGTTTGTGGGTTGAAAATTGCTTGTAACAGTAGATGTTATTAAGTACCTATTTGACCAAATCCACGTGTAAAATGGGATCAAAATTACACTGAGACTCTACCTTAAGAGATAGATTAACCTGATATCAGTACAGAGGACAAAATTAAAGTTCAAAATCTGTCTGAATATCGACACTGTTTTGTATTTGTATTCTGTTGCTATTGCTATTGTCTGTTTCTCTCTCTTCTTTTTTTTTTTTTTTTTCTTCTCTCTCTCTCTGTGTTTACCTACCTGTCTTTGTTCTCCAATATCTGCCCCCCCATGTTTTGAAATATTTGCTATCACCCTAGTATGATTCTTGGCACGCTTTCATAAACTTTTCATAATTCTACATACAATATTTTGTGTGTGTGTGTGTGTGTGTGTCTGAAGATAAACATACTTCAAGCTAAGGTATACATACTTCAAACTAAGGTACACATACTTCAAGCTAAGGTACACATACTTCAAGCTAAGGTACACATACTTCTGACTAAGGTATACATACTTCAAGCTAAGGTATACATACTTCAAGCTAAGGTACACATACTACAAGCTAAACAAATAGTATCTGTCAACCTGTCCTGTACTGCACTGTACTGTAGTGGTAAATTGAAAAAAAGGCGATTGGATAAAAGTACTGTCAGGTGAATTGTGAAAGACTCTTGTTATCCTATGAGTGAACTTGAATGGATAGATGGATATTCGGGTACACAAAAGAGAGAGAGAGAGAGAGAGAAGAATAAAAGAGAGAAAAAAAGAGAAAGAGAGATAACGAAAGAAAGGAAAGGAAAAGAAAAAGAAAGACAGAAAGAAAGAAGGAAAGAAAGACGGAAAGAAAGAAATAGATCATTAGCTTTAACACCCAAGAATATATATACTGTCACATGAGAAATTAATTGGTTAAGTTCAGATTACAGAACTATTGCACACAATCTTTTATTTATTTATTTGTTTATTTTTTATAGGAAATTCGAAAAACCAATTCAGAACAGTTATTGAAAGAGAAAACATATTTATTGGTGGTGAAGTCGGGGGGTTGAGGGTTAGTTCAGTATCGTGTTGTTTCAGAGAGGTATTGAGAACGATACAACACGATACATACACACTAAAACACATTGCAACTCGATACATACACGATACATACAAGGTAAAAGTCAATGCAAAACAACCTCACTTTTGATGTTATTATAATATTGTTTTTGTTATTTGTTGTTGTTGTTATTGTAGTAATATTGAGATTGATTGAATTCTGTCCCGGGTTGGAATTTGGATGGAAGGAGGAGGAGGAAGGAAGGAAGGAATGATTGAGTAGGAGGTGAAAGGAAAGGGATGGACGGAGCAGAAGAGGGAGAGGGATGGAGGAGAGGAAGGTGAAGGAAGAGATGGGGGAGAAAGGGAGGAGGAGGAGGAGGAGGAGAAAGGGGGTGAGGAAATGAGAGAGATGGTAATGTAAGAATGAGTGAGAGAGAGAGAGAGAGAGAGAGAGAGAGTGTGTGTGTGTGTGTGTGTGTGTGTGTGTGTGTGTGTGTGTGTGTGTGTGTGTGTGTGTACTACGCCATCTGTCGATATATTGAACGTAAGCTGATTGGTAGGATCCCCTCCTCCCTCTCTCTCTCTCTGCCCTTGTGTTAGTCTCCCTGTATGTGTCTCTTTCATTCTATTCTTATTGTCTCTTTTCTGTGTTAATGTCTCTCTCTCTCTATAAATATATGTCTCCATCTCATCATTGTCATCTTATCTCTCTCTCTCTCATCTTATCTCTCTCTCTCTCTTCTCTCTCTCTCTCTCTCTCTCCTTCTATCTCTGTCTTGTGTCTCTGTATTAGTCTCTATCTTCTCTTTATATTAACCACAGTGAGATAAATGCTCTACTAACAAGGTAACCAACGTAACTAAGGGGTTAACAGAACTGAAGGGAAACAGGCGTTACTAAGGGGGTTAAGTAACAGAACCGAGGGGAAACTAACGTAACCCAGAGGAATTAGAAAACGCTCCTGTTGACATATTTCGTTAATGTTTATTTTACTTTAGTCACAAGGAAACTCTCTGACAAACGTGATGGTGGTGCAGTACAAGAAATGGTCATCAAGCTTCCTAAACCCGTATTAACCCTCCCCCGTTGTTTTGGATTCGGGTTGAGGATGCTGGACGAAAGGCTGGACGACAGTAGAGACACGTGGTGTAATTTACGGTGCGGCTATACTAGTCCAGGACAGACTGTAGGAAATACAGTAGTCGACAGCAGACTACAATAAAAACGGTGGTAGCCCTCTGCACACTACAGTAGACACAGCAGATTACAATAGCCCGTAGCAGAGTACAATAGCCCTCACCACACCACAGTAGTCCTCACCACACTACAGTAACTTACAACATATTACAACAGTCTACAAATATTACAACATAGTCTCCATAAACATCTCAAGCCACATTTTGTATACAAACAATAATATGTTAAAAATATTATTCCTTTCTACGAAAATGTCACTCGTTGAAAAATAATTGCCTAGATCCGTATTTATTCCTTTTTGAGAACAAGAAGATTTTAACTGCCGAATGGTTCGACAGTTAGATGACGTCACATCTTAAGGGCGAGAGAAACTCTCAACGTGGACCCACTCAACGTTTATTGATTGATATGGTCAAAACCTGGAGAAGTGAGACACTCGTAAACTACTGATTACATTCCATTACATGCATACATTATACATCAGTTAGTAAATACACTATTCTATATGGTTATTATCCAAATTGCCTTACACTATGCACGTATGTAGTTCACAACATTACACCATAATATAAACATTCACTGTGTTGTTTCACTCACCTGTGCTGGCTTATAGCTCCACTTAACTCCTCGTATTGTCCTTCTTAGGTTATGTTGTCGTGTCAGACCAAGCTGGAATTGGTCGTTTACTGAAAGGTCGTTTACTTGAGGGTCGTTTCGTCGCAGAGTCCCCCCCCACACTATCTTTTTTCTCTCTTTATGGTGTTGTCGTCGTGTTAGGTTAGGTTAGGTTAGGTTATTGTCGTCATCGTCGTGTTAGACTACGTTGGAGTGGGTGACAGGTCGTCTGCTGGGGTCGTGGCGCCGTTGTTGTGGTTCTTGGTCGCCAATGGACACGTTGTCGCTGGAACAACTTGGTCCAAACCCAAGGACCACCTGGAACAACAGAGAACACAATGAACAGCAGAACAAACACAACAGAGAACACAATGAACAGCAGAACAAACACAACAGAGAACACAATGAACAGCAGAACAAACACAACATAGAACACACGTGACTAACTGAGTAAACAGAGAGAACAGTAAGGAGAACAATAACAGGACGTAGTAAATGTGAACAGTAAGGAGAACAATAACAGAACTTAGTAAATGTGAACAGGAAGGAGAAGAGTAGGATGAACAAATGAACACACCGGAGGGATTTTAGCATTAAACTTCGACAGTCGGTCATTAGTGTACCGAGCTCTGTAAGACGACTGAACACTGACACAGCACAAGATGATAATCCGATTACCATTCACAGAGGGAAGAGAAGGAAGTAGGAAGAGGGAAAGGTAAGGGAAAATGGGATAAGGGGAGGAGAGGTGGGGGGGCAGAAGGAAGTATGGAAGAGGGAAAGGTAAGGGAAAATGGGATAAGGGGAGAAAGGAGGGAAGGGTATTTTAGGATGTTTGGGGTTTAATTGAGTGTTTGAGTTCAAGATAACACACACACACACACACACACACACACACACACACACACACACACACACATTGATTTCATTTTCGATCTCTGTGTGTCTGTCGTCGTCTCTCTCCCTTACTCTGCGTCTGTTTTCTATTCCCTTTCTTCATTCTACTATCTATCTATCTATCTATCTAATATCTGTCTGATGTTCCTTCCTATCTCTCTCTCTCTCTCTACGGGGAAAGAATCACATGTCAACACAGTTAAGACCGACAGTTCACCTTGACACAGGTAACTTAAAACTCTGTAGTAATTACCTTCATACAGCTTAGAGACGAGGACCAATGAGCGACCGACATGATAAATATGGACCAATCAACGCACGACAAGCTTGTATATACGTGGAATGTCTTTATGGTTATTGATATGTTGCATAGTGTGTGTGTGTGTGTGTGTGTGTGTGTGTGTGTGTGTGTGTGTGTGTGTGTGTGTGTTATTTGTTGTGGCATTTGGTGTTTGTTCTGATATTTATGTTTTTTTCCCTGAATATTACTTGATTAGTTGTTGAATGTGTAAACAGTGGACGTCACACACACACACACACACACAGCCCTGTAAATGTATTCAACGCATATCATTATGTCTAAATCAAATGTAAGTTTGTATATTTTCAACCACCTGCTGCAACTCTATTAATAAACCGTTTATTATTATTATTATTATTATTATTATTATTATTATTATTATTATTATTATTATTACATACACACAGAGGTTTATGAATTAATTTATTAGGTTCGCTGGAGTAAGGTAAAGTATAAGGTATGAGGCGACGAAATGACAAAGAGACAAGGTTAGTGGGGAGGACAGTCAGGATAGACGGGGGGGTGGGGAGGTGAGGCAGGATGGACGGGGGTAGTGGGGAGGGAGGCAGGATGGACGGGGGTAGTGGGAGGAGAGGCGATAGACGGGGGTAGGGAGGTGAGGCAGGATAGACGGGGGGTAGGGAGGAGAGGCAGGATAGACGGGGTAGTGGGGAGGAGAGGCAGGATAGACGGGGGTAGTGGGGAGGACAGGGATAGACGGGGTAGTGGGGAGGACAGGCAGGATAGACGGGGGTAGTGGGGGAGGACAGGCAGGATAGACGGGGGTAGTGGTGGAGGAGAGGCAGGATAGACGGGGGTAGTGGGGAGGTGAGGCAGGATAGACGGGGTAGGTGGGGAGGAGAGGCAGGATAGACGGGGGGGGGGAGGAGAGGCAGGATAGACGGGGGTATTGGGGAGGAGAGACAGGATAGACGGGGGTAGTGGGGAGGTGAGGCAGGATAGACGGGGGTAGGGGAGGAGAGGCAGGATAGGACGGGGGTAGTGGGGAGGAGAGGCAGGATAGACGGGGGAGGGGGAGGAGAGGCAGGATGACGGGGTAGTGGGGAGGAGAGGCAGGATAGACGGGGGGTAGTGGGGAGAGGCAGGATAGACGGGGGTAGTGGGGAGGACAGGCAGGATAGACGGGGGTTAGTGGGAGGAGAGGCAGGATAGACGGGGGTAGTGGGGAGGACAGGCAGGATAGACGGGGGGTAGTGGGGAGGACAGGCAGGATAGAGCAAGGATTGAAAGATAGGTAGCTTGGGTTTCTGGGATTTAGTGTTGAGAGTGTCTGTGGGGTGTGGGGAGATGAGGAGGTAGTGGAGGTAGTGGGGTGGGGGATGAGGTAGGGGGTGTAGTGTGGGGAGATGAGGGAGGTAGTGGAGGAAGGAGGGGTGGGGGAGATGAGGTAGTGGGGTGTAGGGTGTGTGGGGAATGAGGAGGTAGTGGAGGTATGTGGGTGTGGGGAGATGAGGTGGTAGGGGGTAGTGGTGTGGGGGAGATGAGGTGGGGTAGTGGGGTGTGGGGAGATGAGGGAGGTAGTGTGGAGGTATGTGGGTGGGGAGATGAGGAGGTAGGGAGGTGTATGTGGGTGTGGGGGAGATGAGGTGGTAGTGGGTGTAGTGGTGTGGGGAGATGAGGTGGTAGTGGGGTGTAGTGGTGGGGGAATGAGGAGGTAGGGAGGTATGTGGGTGTGGGAGATGAGGTGGGGTGTGTGTGGGGGAGATGAGTGGTAGTGGGTGTAGTGTGTGGGGAGATGGGAGGGTGGGGTGTGTGGTGTGGGGAGATGAGGTGGTGGGGTGTAGTGGTGTGGGGAGATGAGGTGGTAGTGGGGTGTAGGGTGTGGGAGATGGGAGGTGTGGTAGGGGTGTAGTGGTGTGGGGAGATGAGGTGGTAGGGGTGTAGTGGTGTAGGGGAGATGAGGTGGTAGTGGGGTGTAGTGGTGTAGGGAGATGAGGTGGTAGTGGGGTGTAGTGGTGTGGGGAGATGAGGTGGTAGTGGGGTGTGGTGGTGGGGAGATGAGGTAGGGGTGGTGGTGGGAGATGGGTGGTGGGTGTAGGGGAGATGAGGTGGTAGGGGGTGTGTGTGGTGTGGGAGATGAGGTGGTAGTGGGGTGTAGTGGGTGGGAGATGGGTGGTAGTGGGGTGTGTGTGGGGTGGTGGGGTGGTGGTGGGGGTGGTGTGGTGTAGTGGTGTGGGAGATGAGGTGGTAGTGGGGGTGTGTGGTGTGGGAGATGAGGTGGTAGTGGGGTGTAGTGGTGTGGGGATGGGGGGTAGGGGTGTTGTGGGTGTTGGGGTGGTGGTGTAGGGAGATGAGGTGGTAGTGGGGTGTAGTGGTGTGGGGAGATGAGGTGGTAGTGGGGTGTAGTGGTGTAGGGAGATGAGGTGGTAGTGGGGTGTAGTGGTGTAGGGAGATGAGGTGGTAGTGGGGTGTAGTGGTGTGGGGAGATGAGGTGGTAGTGGGGTGTAGTGGTGTAGGGAGATGAGGTGGTAGTGGTTGATTGATTTTTTATTTTGCCGCTTGCAGCGGCTACTTTATTGTGCACCCCACACTCATCCTGTGAGCGGTAGCGCAAAAGGATTACAGAGTAGGGTTTACAAAGGGTCATAATAATTAACCCCCGTTGTCAGGATATTATGGCACTGAGAGTTACACAGTATTTCATTTACATTATTTGTTTAGTTCTATACATAAAGGGTAACTTATTCACAAATGCGTGAGAACAGGCGTGTGAGGCAGTATGTCTGGCCTCACACTTGTTATTCACATTTACGTGGGGATACTGCCACATTGCGTATTTGGTTCTGTACATGAGAACTGATATAGTTACTAAGTGCAAAAAAGTGGATACAATCTAATATGTCGGCTATCTTGCCATTAGAGATGAAGTGTTGTGCCATTTCACACACAGTGTGCTTGGACCTGTCCCTAAAAGGTTCTATCTTCACACAGTCGAGGAAGTAGTGTTCAAGTGTGTGGCCATATGTATGGCCACACACTTTACATTTAGTTTTGTTTACATCTGCTTGAGGAACATACTGCCAAGGGTACTTATATCCTAACCTTAATCTAGCGGTTACAACATCTTGTAATCTAGTGATCTTGTTACTTGCTCCATAGTGGGGTGTAGTGGTGTGGGAAGATGAGGTGGTAGTGGGGTGTAGTGGTGTGTGGGGAGATGAGGTGGTAGTGGGGTGTAGTGGTGTGGGGAGATGAGGGTGATGGGGTGTATTGTTGAAGGGAGATAAAGGTATAGGGGGTGTAGCGGTGTGGGGAGATGAGGTAGTGGTGGGGTGTAGTGGTGTCATTCCTGGAAAGTGCTATTGTCGGCGGAAATTACCTGCGTCAGTCGTGCAGGTTAATCAGCGAGAGAGAGAGAGAGAGATTACCCGTGTAGGTTATATAAACAGGTTGTATTTTTGACACATTTTGCTACATTACTCTGAGATGTTTCTTACTGTTTATTTACAAGAGTGAGTTTCCGTGGTGGTGGAGTGTGATGCCAGCAGTAGTAGTAGTAGTAGGGGGGGGGGATCTAGCGTGGGTTCTGAGGGTTGGGACCCCAGCCCCCCCTTTTTTATGAGAAAATTTCAATAATACTTTTTCTTTAATGCAGTATAGTATAGTATTCAGGCGTTTTGGTATAGTAAAAAGTAATTACTATTGACCTCAAATATCTATCAATATGAAGTGCACATGGCCTCAAAATGCCTATGACATTAGTTAGGTTTCAAAAAATTTCCGGGGGGGGGAGGATTACAGACCCCCCCCCCCCAGCTGGGTTTGTTCGCTGTGCTCACCATGTTCTCCTACCTATAACTCCTTGGACCCCCCTTTTTGATATTCCTGGATCCGCCCCTTAGTAGTATAATACTGCAGTCTATTCACTAGAGGCTTGCAACTGAGGCCTAGGTTCAGTTTGCAACAAGGCAGCTGATTGGCTGGCTAACGGGTCCGGGAAAGGTCAATCGAGTTTTTTTTTGTAATTAATCTCTCGTATTTACATTGCAGTATATTAAGAGATAATTACTTTTTTGTATCGCTCTTTCATAATTTTCAGAGATCAAATCACAATAGTTATTATCCTTTAAAATATAAGAATATAAATACGAACTGTAATGAGTTCCGTGTCCCTCGGCTAGCCAATCAGCTGCCATGTTACAAACTGATCCCTATGCCTCAGTTGTATTGGAGTGAGGAAACTATAGTAGTAGTAATAGTGGCAGTGGTGAAAGTAGCAGTGCCTTTAACCACCATAATAATAATAATAATAATAATAATAATAATAATAATAATAATAATAATAACTGGTAACTGTAATAGCAATAATAATAATAATGAAATAGGAATAACAGTTTACAAAATATGTGACGCAGCAGGCTCTAAAAATCAGAAAAAAACCCAATCATTCCAGTCACTAAAACCCCCCCAAAATCCCTGGCTTCCCTCCACACACACACAAAGTCGGCTCAGAATGCTTAATGAGGTCGAAAATATATCGTGTTGCTGGAAAAGTGTCTTAAAATTCCCCCTAAGTGCTATTGTATTACTTGGTGATCGGGGAAGATTATTTCGTAACTATGCCAATAACAGCGTATCTCTATATCAAAGGCGAGGAACAGCGTGTTACAAGTAGTTTATAAAATGTTAAGGTGTGTGTGTGTGTGTGTGTGTGTGTGTGTGTGTGTGTGTGTGTGCGTGTACATACCTGGAGCAGAATATGGAGTGTATACATATCTGCAGCTGATTGTGGAGTGTGTACTTACCCGCTGCTGGTTGTGGAGTGTGTACATACCTGCAGCTGGGTGTGGAGTGTGTACATACCTGCAGCTGGTTGTGGTGTGTGTACATCCATGCAGCTGGTTGTGGTGTGTGTAGGTGTGTCTATACTCACAGCTGGTTGTGGAGTGTGTGTAGGTGTGTATACGTGCTCGCAGCTGGTTGAAGACTACATTTACGTACCCGCAGCTGGTTGAGGAGTGTGCCGCTGAAGTAGAGGTAGATCCAGGGGTTGGTGCAGCTGTTGAGTGAGCCCAGCAGCATACACACTACCGCCACGGGGTTCATTGTTGACACTGTCGGGGTGCAAGAGGTGAGACTCCGCGTATTAAATCAGATTAACCCTTTGAGTCATGAAGGGTTAAACCATCATCCTCAAAGGGTTAATGAACGTACGTCTAAACTAATTTACAGCAATCATATGGTTTTTTCAGTGTTAATTCAGACGGATTTATGGTTTTTCACACACACACACACACACACACACACACACACACACACATACACACACACACACATACACACACACACACATACACACACACACACACACACACCGAGACAGACAGTGATGAACAATGGGTATAGTGTGTGTCAACAAATGGGAAGGGCTTTTGTGTGTTGGTCGATGAATGTTTTTTTTTGTCGCAGGTTAGGTTAGGTTAGGTTAGGTTAGGTTAGGTTAGGTTATGTTATGTTATGTTATATTATATTAGGTTGGGTTAAATTAGGTTAAGTGAGGTGACGGAGCTTATAGGAAGGTATACATGACAGAAAGACGTCTTCACTCAATAGGTTGTTAAAAAGGACAGATATAATAGGGTCACATTTCGTCTACACGATAAATTGGAGGAAAAAAAATCATTTACTAACCGAGAAATTCTCAGTGCTAAACCCGGCCAGGCTCTACCAGACGTGAGCCACCCACACTGAACCAAATCCCGATCCAATTTAACTTAATTTTTTCAGGCTTAGCGTATCATGTGTGCCCGCCAAGGTAGGTAGTAGGAAGTAGGCAGCTACCAAACAGGGAGGTACTACCGCCTGGGAAGATATTGGAAGCATAATGTGTTGTCTAATGGTAGACCCTGCTGCCATATGGCACCACGAAAATTGTGACCAAGTCCCAGGTTGCTGATCTGGCTTTCTGCCTCATTTACACACAATTGCAGGGTCTCAATTGTTTCTCTTACTATTGACAACACAGCATACTGTATATCGTTTCTCACTTTTTATCTTTTTTCATTTTTGTAATTCTTTATTATTATTATTATTATTATTATTATTATTATTATTATTATTATTATTATTATTATTATTATTATTATTATTATTATTATTATTATTATTATTATTATTATCACATTTTCGCCCCCCAGGCCCCGATGTGGGTCAGTGACCTGTGCCCGGGTAGGCCACTCCCCGTAAAAAAGAAAAAGAAAAAAAAAGATGCAGTTGTCCCAAATCCCATTGCCTAGCATTCTCTGACGTCATTACCCGTAAGTCAGCTCTCGTTCATAGTTAGGTGATATCTTACGTGATTATGTGATCCGTGTTTAATATAGAGACACACACACTAATACCATTGTTCTGTTGTCGTTATTATGGTTTGCTTCATATCCTCTAATTAATCCTTAATGTCTCATGTGAATAGACTTCCCGTGTTAATTACCTAATGAGAAACTGTAAATACTGGCTAAGGTCACTACTAATTAGTCTTAATTTACTCAGGTAGGTGTTGTCTTACCTTAGGTTACAAAGCTTCACTCTGAGGGGTAAACACATGCTCAGTTTACGCTACATAGTCAAATTCTCTGAAGTTCCTACAATAAATATGCCTCGTAAGTAAATACCTCAGAATGTATGTAATTCTTTGGAGTCAAATAAATCACAAAATCAATATTTAAAAATAACATCAAAACTACGCTGTGACGACGCTGGCTTAACAATGACACGGTCACTCAATCCAAGTTATGAGACAAGTTTAATTGAGTGATTGATTGATTGTGGTAATAAGATCCCTGGTGGCGACGCAACAGCTTAAGGTCATGTGTGTGTGTGTGTGTGTGTGTGTGTGTGCAAATAAGACATTTATAGTGTGCAAATTGACCTTAACAGCATTGTAAGATCGTCTAAGGTGTTGCAAAATCTCGTAAGGTCTTGGAAGATCTCATGAGGTCTCGTAAAGTCTCGTAAAGTCTTGTATGGTCTTGTATGGTCTCTTAAGGTCTCATAATGTTTCATAAGGTCTTATAAAATCTCGTAAAATCTTGTCAGGTCTCGTGTGGTCTCGTAAGATCTTATATAATCTTGTAAAGCCTCGTAAGATTTAACATGTCATAAGGTCTTGTAAAGTCTCGTATGGTTTCGTGTACCCAGCCGGACCAATCAGCAAGTCGATCACTCTTGTTATTTCTCGGAACATAATTTTCCACCCCGAGTTATCACAACACTTTAATTTGAGTCCAGGGAGGAAAAGATATCACCCCCTCCCTCACCCTCACCCCCCTCACCTCCACCCACCCCCTCACCCTCACCCTCCCCCTCCCCCTTAACGGGCATAGTGGATTAACCTCGTGTACGGAGGGGGGGGGGATTGTCTCTCAGTGCTGAATAAGATATAAAATCGTCTCGTGTTAGTCAAATCAAATGGTGTCTCGTAGTGAAGTGGATAATGTCTCTCGACGAGGTAGATTTACCCATGAGAGAAAGAGAGAGACATAGAGAGATAAAGAGTGTGTGTATCGCCCGGAGGAATGTTCTAGGACTTCTGTGGGTGTGTGTCTGGGTGGATGTGGGGGGTGGGTGAGTCGGTGGGTGGGTGAGCGGGTCGGTCGGTGGGTGGGTGAGTCGGTGGGTAGGTGAGTCGGTGGGTGGGTGAGCGGGTCGGTCGGTGGGTGGGTGAGTCGGTGGGTGGGTGAGCGGGTCGGTCGGTGGGTGGGTGAGTCGGTGGGTGGGTGAGCGGGTCGGTCGGTGGGTAGGTGGGATGTGTGTGTGTGTGTTAAAACATAATTCCAGGTTTATATCCAACATCAATATCAAACACCAGATCCTGTTTGAATTACGTAAAAATTCTCACACCAAAAGCTTTTTTACCTTTTATTATTTGCTTCTCGTAATGCAAGTCGAAATTAACTCTTTGTTGTTGTTGTTCATATAATTCGTATTACGTGTAGAATTATGGCAACATTTTCAATTGCCAATTCGCCCTAACAGCTATACTTTATGTGGCTGTCATGATCGACCTTGATAATTAATAAACAACTACAGTGTCAGGACTTCCTAGAGGTAGTCCGTATGTGCGTAAACAAGAAATGGAATTAGTCCTTTGTATCATGTAGAATTAATCGGTCGACGATAAAATTTTATGTACACATTTTATTAACAAAAAATAAGGGTTACCTGCACTAATAATATCCAGATGATTTGTGTATTGTTTGAATTTTCTACGAACCAGTAAATGCATGTTTAATGGCGACATATCCGGTGTAGTTTAGTTTGTTGAAATGATAATTTAGTGATTATAGATTATCGTTTTGCTTTATACCACCTTGGTGAGGACACACACACACACACACACACACACACACACACACACACACACACACAGTCACTAAGAGCGAGAGAAAGTATTACTCACAGTCCTGGGGTTTGTTGTAGACCGTGAGGAGTTGAGCAATGCAGAAGGGTGCCCAACAGATGGCGAAGGCGAAGACTATGGTCAAGGTCATGCGAACGGTTTTCATCTTGGCGGCGGACACCTTGTCCACCACAGGGGTGATGGCATGCGGCAGGTGGTGGTGATGACTGCCTCCCCTCACTCTGGAGATGGGCTGTAGCTCCATACTCATTCTCCTCTCAGAAGGAGCGCTGGATTGCCACCGCAGACAGCCGAAACACAGGCGGCGTCTCAATGCAGATCTGGGTGAAGTGGTGCCCGCGCTGTGCCACACTGCCCAACAGATGTAGCCGTAGCAGACGGCGATGATGGCCAGGGGCAGCAGGAATACGGACACCACGAACCACGTCACGTACATGCGTTCACTCACCAGCTCGAACACCACCCAGCAGTCCAGCACGCCGGGCTCCACCTCCCTCACGGCGAAGAGCAGCGTCTGGGGCGTTGCCAGGACTAGCCCCAACACCCACGCCCCCGCCACCATCAGCCTCGCCGCCCGCAGTGACCCACGCCCACTACCCTGCACGGCGCGGGCACGGTCCACTGCCATGAAAACCAGGACGTAAGTTGACACGTAGAGCACGAACACTTGGGCGTACTTGACCAAGCGACACAGGAGGTCAGACCCTCGGAAGCGGTAGGTGATCTCCCAGATGAGCTGCGGGAGGATGTTGAGGAGGGCGACGAGCAGGTCAGCCAGGCTCAGGTGCAGCATGAACAGGTAACACCGCGACATGGGCTGGAAGAGCGAGTGACGCCACAGAGCGATCAACACAAACACGTTTCCGATTACCGCCACGACCATGATCAGCACCAACACCACGATCTCCACCACCGCCAAGGCAGAGTTCCGGAAGTCCTCCTTCGCCAGGATCGTTGTCACGTCGCCAGTGCTGGCAGGAAAGCTGTCCTTGGCGAAACTGTGGAGCTCGTCGTAGAGGGTGGAGGTGTTGAGGCCCAAGTGGGTGCTGAGCTCCTCCATCTTCTTGATCATGAAGCGACCCACCGCCTCGGCACTCAGGGTCACAAAGAGGTCAGTATTAGGTAATGTGTTGCTTGAGTTGGGTGTTATGGTGCTCATGTCAGGCGTGGTGTTGCTCATGACAGGTGTGGTGGTGCTCATGACAGGCGTGGTGGTGCTCATGACAGGCGTGGTGGTGCTTATATTCGTGACAGATGCAGCAATGCTTACGATAACGTAATGATGCTTATGTCAACCTAATGGTGCTCAGTCCTTCCGTGGTGGTCCCGACAGGAGTCATGGAACACATATTATACTTGGTGCACATAGTAACATAGTGGTGATCACGCCCGACATGGTGACCGTGAGAGCGTGGTTGGTGATGTAGAGGCCACCAGCACCTACTGGTGAAGCTCCCTCGTGTAGGTAAATCTGCCAAGAAACATTGTATTAGTACATGGAAAGGTAAATAAATAAGGCTGCTGTGGCTGTTGGCCCATAACCCTCCCCTCCCTCCACCCCTCCTCTCCGGGATATCAGGAAAATCCCGCCAAAAGTGACAATTTCATTTGGGAAAGGAATGAAATTATTGTTGGACAGTGTTTAGGCCAGTGATGTCAACGGTAAACACTAACAGCTGATAGTGGTGGCCAAGTTAACCTTCACACCAAACAGTAAGGACCCAGGGTACCCAGATAAAACCGCCCAAGGGAACATACCATCTTCAGCTCACCAGGAGGTTTAGTGTTAAACAGTCCACTCTAGGAAAAACTGTGGGTCGTCCTTACACCTAACTGTGAGGTATTGTACTGTACTACAACACCACTTGGCAGAGACCACAAGGTGTCACCACAACACTGCGACGTTTTGATTGAGTTGCTACGACGTCATATGAAGTTACTCATAACAACACTGTGGACGAGTTACTGCATCACGTGGGGTTACTGCACCACATGAGGTCCTTCATGTCAACACCTGTGGAGGAGTTACTGCATCACGTGAGGTCCTTCATGTCAACACCTGTGGAGGAGTTACTGCACCACATGAGGTCCTTGATGTTAACACCTGTGGACGAGTTACTGCATCACGTGGGGTCCTTCATGTCAACACCTGTGGAGGAGTTACTGCACCACGTGAGGTCCTTCATATCAGCACCTGTGGAGGAGTGGCCAACGTGACCTTACACAGAAGAACAAGAGACCAGCCCCTGCCATCTACTTTACACCATAATAGCTGTAATATAAGCTCTTGTTAAACGATCCATGTCATTATATGTAAAAAGTCATAAGCCTTTTGGATGCTGAACTTTTTCAGTAAACCCTTAATTATTATTATTATTATTATAACACACACACACACACACATGTATCCACAGGTACTCAGTCAGTCACTCACAATGACACTCATTAGTCAGTTACTCGTAATGGCATTCAGTTAATGTACACAATCTACACCGACAGTGATGACGTCATTGTACACAATCTACACCCACAGTGAATAATAATAATAATAATAATAATAATAATAATAATGATAATAATAATAATAATAATAATAATAATAATAATAATAATAATAATAATATTAATAATAATAATAATAATAATAATGATGATGATGATGATGAACGGAGGCGGAAGAAAAATGATGAAACATGATATTTTGTTATTCAGGTTGAGGCTCAGCTCATTAATTAACTTGGCCAGGTTAACATAATTACGTATTGGCTGTTGTAGGAAACGGTAAACAAAGAAAGGGAGGTTGGATCTTCAGGTTTAATGAGATTTAGAGCTAACTCTATCTCTCTTTTATATCTCTCTTTATTTCTTTTCTCTCTCTCTTTTATATCTCACCTTTATTTTGTGCTCTTATGTACCATTCTATATAATATCTCTTTCCTTCCGTATCTTTCGCAAATGTAGAGAGAGAGAGAGAGAGAGAGAGAGAGAGAGAGAGAGAGGGAGAGAGAGAGAGAGGAACGAGGGAAACGCGAGGATAACGGAAGACTAAGAAGGAGATAAAAATAGAAGATGAACGGAAGAAAGAAGACTACAATTAGGAGGAAAGATGAAGGATAGGATAAAGGGGAAAGAAGGTGATGAGGAAGACATTTGAGGAAGAGGAGGAGGAGGAGGATAAGGGAAGATAAGGAAGACAATGGGAGATGAGGAAAACAACAAGAGAAGGAAGACAAGGGGAAGAATATAAACACAATTATAGGGGTGAGACTTTGCTGTTTGTTTACATAGAGTGAGGGAGGGAGGGGGGGGTCAGGAGATCCCCAGCCAAAGGGTATAATATCCTCTGACGCTGCCGTGTGTACATAGTAACGCACACACACACACACACCATTGGGGGGAACACACAAGTTTTATTACGCCGCCACACGAAGGAATAAAAAATAATGGTAAAGTAATATATTTTTTTTTAGTTTAACAAATTTATTGATAAAGCCT